AAAAGTGAAATCACATGCCCACCCAAAACACTGTGTGGGAAGGTCTACAGTCACTTTATTCATTATTTCCAAAAGTTAGAAACAACCTAGACATTCATCACTGGCAGAGGGGTCAGCAAGCTGGGGTACATCCAAACAGTGGGATAACCTCCATGCAGTGAAAATGAACAGAAACTGAATTATCAACCTATGGCGCTGAGTGAAGGAGGCAGACATAGAAAGCTCCCTGCTGTGGAGTCCCATGTATGTGACAGATGGAAAAGCAAAACTAGAGGGATACAAAATTGGCAATGATTGTCATGAGCCAGACTTAAGAGGAGGGGGTTGATTATGAAGGGGCTCATGGATTCTTAGGGATAATGTGTCTATTATGTATCGTGAGTACCACGGCAGTTACTCAACTGTATCCATTTGTCAAAACTCAGAGCTTTTGGGCTGGGGATTTAGCTCAGTGGTTTTGCCGCCTGCTGTGCAAGCGCAAGGACCCGAGTTCGATCCCTGGTACCAAAACAAAAAACAACCACAAAAAAACCCTCAGAGCTATACTTTAAAAAAGGTGAATGTTATGTTTTGTAAGTTATACTTCAGGGTAAGCCTAACTTTAATTTGGAGGGGGCGTGTTTTGAGACAGGGTCTCGCTATGTAGTTCAGGCTGGTCTTGAGCTCACATGTAACCCAGATTGGCCTCAAACTCATGGCAGTCCTCCTGCCTCAGCCTCCTGATGTTTTTTTTTGGTATGTGCTGTATTCACATGGTTCAAAAAACCAAACATGAAAAAATACAACGAAGCCTCATCCTACCCTTAGCACCCATAATCACCAAGTTTCTTACATATTTTCAGGTTTCTTTATTTAAGTACAGTAGTGCCCCCCACATCTAGTTTCACTTTCTGAGCCTTCAGTTATCCATGGTCAACTGCAGTTTGAATATAAAGTAGAAGATGCCAGATACAAAGAAGGCACATTTTCAATTGCACCATTCTGGGTAGCCTGATTACATTATGTGCTGTACTGTGCCATCTCACCCAGAAACTGAATCACCCCTTTGTCCAGGGTATCCACACTGCATATTTACCTGTTGTCTTGGGTATGGCTTTATATTGCTTGTATTCGGGTAATTCTGTTTTACTAATAGTGGCTCCAAAGTGCAAGAGTAGTGAAACTGGCAGCTCAGATATGCCAAAGAGAAGTTGGAAAGTGCTTTGTTTAGGTGAGAAGCTGAAGTACAGTGAAATCTTTAGAGAGAAACACATACAGCAGCTAACTTTTATTACAGTGTATTATTACAACTGTTGTGTTTTAGTTGTTGTTAATCTCTTACTGTGCTTAGTTTATCAGTTAATCTTCTTTATCATATGTATGCACGTACAAACTATCCAACTTACCATGGTTTGACTTGCAACTTTTCAACATTATAGATTTACTGGGGCATTAAATGCATTTTCCACTTAAGCTGGGTTTGTTTGGACACACTCCATTGTAAGTCAAGGGAGCCACCTATATAGGAAAAAGAATGGTATATGTTTGGCAGGATTTGGTACTATCTGAGATTTCAAGGCATCTGTGGGGACACTTGAAATGTATCTCAGTCCCCAGCAATAAAGGGCGAGGGGACTGAGTAACAGAACAGACTCCTAGGTGGAAGAGTTCAGATTCTTAGGAGTTAACCACCGAGGAGCTGGTGTTGAGATATATTTAAATCACATAATTGGTTTGGTCTTTTCTTTTCATAAAATGTTACAGCAGAGCTGAAGAGCATGTGTCAGCATGGCCTACGAAAATTGTGTACCCTTTAATAGGAAGTTTGTGGCTGTTTCTGGGTGTTTGACAGTTAAGGAGGCTCTGTGTATGTTGGTGTGAGGCAGATACCTCTTGCAGGTGATATGGTGAAGTGGATGTCTTGCCAGATACCTATGTTGTGATCAGAAAATATGGTGAAAGTTTAAAACAGTTTTTAAAAATTTTATTATAGTAAAAGACACATTACCCTTATTCCCCTCCAAAATGCTCCCCTTCACTTTGAATACACCCCATCATTCTTACCACTTTCTGAAGCAGTTCTGAAAGTCCTCTTTCATGAGTGTCTTTCTTAGGCTGTCATGGCTGCCTTGATGTCCTGAATCAGTTGTAAACATTGACCTTTCATGGCCATTTTCACTTCAGGAAGAGCTGGAATCACAAGTCCCAGATCTGGTGAATAAACTGGAACAGGACATATCACAGTGTTGTTACAAGCTTACCTGCCTGTTGAATGGCACTCGGCAGCAGCACCCACCAGCTTTTTGATCATATCTTGTAAAGACATGTAATCCCAAATACTCTGGAGGCTGAGGCAGGAGGATTGCAACTTCAAGGCAGTTTAGTGAGATCATGTCTCAAAAAGGGTGGGGCTGCAGCTCAGTACCCTCTGGGTTCAATTCCCAGTACCCCACCACTGCAAGAAAGAGAGAAAGAGAGGGGTGGGGGAGAGAGAGGGAAAGAGATTAGAAAGGATGTTGAGGGATCCCATGTTTGTTTTATTTGGTATTATATGCCAAAATTTTATGTGAATTTTGGGACTTTTGACAGCTTATACATTAGCTGTTCCTTCAGAGTTCCATTTAAAAATGAATGAAACAACTCAGAATTGAGTGAGAAAACATGTTCCTTTTTTAAGTGTACATAACTAGAAACTCAAAGTCCTGGTTCACTCAGTATCAACTTCCATTACACTGGAGCCAGACAAGCAAATGGCCTTAAAAATATTGGAAACAAAATGGGCTTTATACTTTCTTCACACAGTTTTTCCATTTTTGACTTTTAAGAATTGTTTTCTGTCATTGAGTAGTAGTTAATAAATTTATAACATTGAAGATAAAAATTATGAAAATAAACGCAAGCACCTTGAATAAATTAGTATTTAAATTTTTACAGAGAAGAAAATCAGTGCTAAAGTGCTTGCTTCATATACCCTAGGCTCGGGGTTCAATTTCTGGCAACCCTCCCCCCAGTCATTTGTGGTGTTGGGTAATGGGAGCTTGGCAGGCTTGACCTAGAAACCAGTATTTACACCTCTCATCCTCTCAGCTTCCGCCCCTGATCTGAAGCTCTGCTCCGTTTTGGGACTGAGATGAGGAGAAGTAGGTACCTCATATGTTGTCTGCTCACCCAGCTGTGCTGCTTTTCTCCACTGTCCACAGAGGATGTCCTCCATTAGACTTTTGCTTTGATATTAATGTATCTACTCAGTAGAAAGAGAATATTAAACCGTTCACCTCAGAGAGTCCAATTGCCCTTTCTCTGGGGCCTTGCCTCTCACCCTGTTAAACTGCTAGAAAGACACATTTCCATCCCCTGCATCTGTTATTTGCCAAAACTCTCTTGTTTTTGTGTTTTGACTCTTTGGACTACTATTGTTATTCTAATATACACAAAGTTAAAAGGGATTAGGTATTTGATTTTTAAATGTTATTATTGAAATATTGTTTGTTAATGATTCTGTTCTTGTTTTATTCCAAAATAAAGACTTGTTGCCTCTTACTCATTTTTGGCTGCATAAATAGACCAAGGGTTACTAATGGTCTATTGTGTGTGATGAAAAGTTGTTATGAAGGAATACCTTTGGGAACAGGAGCAGCATGTCTCAGAGGCAGGATTTTATGCTTAGAAAAACAGTAAAAACACTGATAAAATTGTAATTTTTAACAGGACAAAATTCCTCCCTTTGGGTTCAAGAACCTTTCATGTCACTATTGGACTAGTTTGCTTTACTAAAAAGACAGTTTCCCACTCTTTAAGTGAAATTTGGACACGTAACTTTAGTCACTTTTCTATGTTCCCTTTCCCTTGTTTCCTATCTTCCTGCAGCACCCCTTGAGGAAGATAATATTGCACCCGCACCTCACATTGGCGGGGGGGGGGTGCTGCTGATAGGTTGAGTAACTGTCCCTGGGTCACACGATCTAGGACACATGATGGTGAATGGCAGAAACAGGTGCCACCCAATCTTTGGTTATCTAGCGCCAAACTTTCACCACTTAAATAGGTTTGCTTGCCAATTTAAAACATTCTTGTCAGCTGGTTAATAAAAAGTTTTAAAAAATATTTATCACTTATCTTGCACTTGTTTACTTATCTCTGACTGCCAAGAATAGTGGTATTATCACACACGAGGACTGATTGCCACTTCCACCTTATTTTTAGTGAGGGTTAAGCCAATTTTGTTCCATTCATGAGTGACAGCTGTTATGATTTAATTTCCTTGTGATATGACATTGTTTATTCCATACTATGTATGTCGTACTCAAAGAATTTAAAGTTAAGCTGCTAATGTATTTCATAAGTTCTATGCAGAAATACATCTAATTAATGTAATTATCTCTTAGCCAAGTGGGAAACTTTTAAATACGAACAAAGTTAGGGTTAGGAGCTTGAAGGCTTGTATGCAAATGTGCGAGCTTGCTTTCTTACCTATCAGCTACACATACTGACAGCTTCCTTAAAGTGGCTTCAAAATTCTGTGTTCCTGAGATAATCAAATGGTATTAGGTAAAACAAAAGGACTTCTAGAAAACTCTTCCATGATATAATGAATTGTAACTAGCCAGGGATTTAATTTGACATGTCTAATTTAACATTGGATAAGGGGGCATGCTCTTTCTATTGACAACAAATATGTAATGGCTTTATTTTCTAAATGTAGTGTTTTCATATATTGTCTCATTTTTTAAAATAGCACTCTTTGCATAAAAAGACACTAATGTTCTCTATTAAATATTCTTGGACATTTGCATTAAAACATAAGTGCCTGGGGACAGAATGTAATTTCTTTCTCTGTTTATCCCACCCTCCTGAAGTTAGCCCCTTCATGGTTACCCCAGAGCTGCCCTCATTTTAACTACGTTTTTTAAAAAGGACCTTTTGGTTTTGTTAGTGTATTCCTAAGTAACGATGAGCTTATAGCATATGAGAGTTCTTAAAATTGCTATTGTTTTAAGTGACCTTCTCCTCTCTCTTGATAGCAAATGAAGAAGCATCCTTGCCGCCAATGTGACAAGTCTTTCAGCTCCTCCCACAGCCTGTGCCGCCATAATAGGATCAAGCACAAAGGCATCAGGAAAGTTTATACCTGCTCGTAAGTCATGATTTCTAACATGGAAGCAAAGTGAAAGGGTTGTCAGCACCTTTTGAAGGTTTTTGTTTTGTTCTGTTTGCTTTTGTTGTACTGGAGATTAAATTCAGGGAATACCTAGTTCTTTGCAGTTTGAGACAATTTCTTGCTAAATTGTTCAGACTGACCTCAAGCTTTTGATCTTCCTGCCACAGCCTCTCAGTTAGCTGAGATTATAGGTGTGCACCACCGTTTGCAGCTGTGTTTTCGGTTTTTTTTCCCATTAAGTGTATTGGTACATTTTAGGTATACAATACAGTTACGTTCATCATTGGGAACTTGTACCTTTACATGATGTATCTTGGTTCTTATGTTTTCCCCATTCCCCTGCCCTCCCTTCACCCTTCCACCCTTCCCTATTTACAGGCTGTTTCCATTTTTTTCATGTGCTCATATTTTTTCTTTTCCCTTCTTTCCTTTCCCCTACCCCTCCCACTTCCCCTAGTCCTTTAGACCTATTCTTCCTTTTCTCATTATCTATTATACATTTAGTCCTTATTTACACTTTCAGTTTCTCACACCAGAGAAACTATTCAGTATTTACACATGTGTGCTATTTATTTCATCTAAGAGTATGGCTTCAATGTGCATCCATGTGTTTTCATATTTTACCATTAACTTTTTGACTCTTCATCCTCTGTTCCAGGTTTTAGATTAAATTTCTTAACTGTATTCTATTTTGGCATACAGTTTTATTGATTGGCTCAACTCACTTGCATAGACCATGTACATTAGGCTTTTATAATATTTAGTGACATTTTTATTACTGAGAGTTGGGAGGGGTTTGTGGGTAGGCAGTAGGGATGTCCTTGTCCCTGCCCGTAGCAATTGGGCAGCATTGTAGATTGACTTGGCAGGTAAGTTTATTCAGTTTCAGAGGAAGCCTGGAAAGGGCCCAGTCCAGACCAGGTCCTGGGCCCTTTGGCGGTACATTGGCTGAGACCAGACACATGTGAGGGACTGAGTGGGGCTGTAAAGTCTCATGCCTCAGTGGCCAGTCACAAACTGCCTCTCTGGATGTGAAGACCAGATGTGTCATGTCATTGTTAGTGGACAATCTTTGCTACCCACTCAAGGGAGTTGGTAGAACAAGGTACTTTTCATCAGAGAGATCTCTAGGACCTCAAATATGGAGAGCCAGTGTGTAAGGCCACACAAACAGGGTCAGAGCAGGTGCTGTGGGCCTTGTGCACAGGGACAGACATGAAGCTGACTGTCACCCCAGGGAAAGTTCAGTGGGGCTTGGTTATTAGGGAAAGTTTCCTAGGTAGCCAAACAGGAATGAAATCAAAGAGGTAAAGTGATTTTGGTGAGGTGACAGTGCTCCATAAATAGTCTATGTTGAGACTGAATTAAAAGAATGAGAATTTAGGATGCCCTGGGCTGAGAAAGGAGAGAAAGGAGTCTGCTCAGCCATAATCCTTTACTGAAAGGTTTTGTTTCTTTCCATGTGAAGTCACTGTAAGGCAGTAAGATGCCAAGACTTCCTACTTAATTTACTGCCAGCAAAAATCTCTTCATGGATCAAGAGCTCATGTCCTGCCACTGCCCCAAAGAAGGTCAAGATTTGGGCCAGTCATTATTTGAAAGCAGATTTGGTTCAAAATAAGACCATGCTTTTCATCCTCCTTCATTGCAGTGGTACTTTTGATGTGATGCATAGTGTCCATCATCATAATGGTCATGAGCCTCTTTAAAACTGTTTTTGGCCTGATTTAAGAAAACAGTAAACTCCTATCTTTCAAACAAACTACCTTCATAATTACGATATTTTTAGCACAAGACAAAATGAAAACTGAAAGAATTGGTCTCTCAGTTTTCTACATTTGAGCCTATGTGTACTTGAGAAAGAAGCACCCTTTTGCTGATCCATGTACTTTGGGAATGTGTATTCAGTGAGCAAACCTGTTCAAGTGCTGTGGTGATAAAGACTCAGGTTACATCTGTGTTTTGGTAAGAAGTCTGGGCTAGAGGCTCTGTCTCATCACAGCAGAGTGGACAGGGGAATTAACAACAGCATGGCAGGCCCAGGAGGCACTGTCCTCCGCCTGATGGGTCAGTCATGGTGTAAATTCTGAAGGTGTTCTGTGTTGTTGTAAAGAAAACTTCGGAAATGTAATATTCAGCACTTTAAAATTAAGTCATACTTTGACTAAACCTAGAAAATATTCCAACTGAAGCAAATTAGTCTAGTTCTGCACCAACAGTGCTTTTTACAAAAAAGCATTTTTACATTTCTTTAAAACCTTTTTCACAAACTGGGAACTATGACTCATAGCAACATTGCTTGTTTCTCTTTGAGCCACTGGTGTTAATCTAGCTCATGGTGGCCTTCTGTGAATTCCGGGGGCTGTCACACAGGCCCTCCAGCTCTAGGCGGTCTACTGTAGCAGAGTGGTCTCTCTCCCTGTCTGTGCCCTGCAGGCACTGCCCCGACTCCCGGCGGACCTTCACTAAGCGGCTGATGCTGGAGAAGCACATCCAGCTGATGCACGGAATCAAGGATCCGGATGTGAAAGAAATGACTGAAGCCAGCAATGAGGAAGAAACCGAAATAAAGGAAGACACCAAGGTTAAACATTATAGCTCTTTTCTTCACAGTGAAGCTCTGTTGACTTGTTTTCTCTATGCATTCTCTTCATCTACCTTTGACTATGGTTACAGTTTAACAAATTCAGATTATATATAAGTATAAAACAGTGGATAATCCCCTCTACAGCCATTTTGACCCCTCAGCTTCTCCTGAAGGGTAACTTGCTAAGTTTGTTCTGTGCCCTTCCAGAAACAGCTTTAGGGATCTACTTGCTTATATAACTTAAAAATTTTATGATGATTTAGGGAAGTTGTCTTTTAGCTAGAGGAATGTATTAAAGACAGATTCTTCTTTTGATAGTATGTCAGTGGTGATAGGTTCCTAATAACAATTAGGTGATTCCTTAGTTCTTTGTAGCGATAAAGGATAAAACCACAAACTTATGTCCTCCCACCCTTTTTTGTGGTGCTGGGGACTGAACTCTGGGCCTTGCATGTGTTAGGTAAGTGCTCTACTATTGAGTTAATCTCCAGCCCCCAGGCCTTACCCTCATATTCTGTGAGCCTGTGTACAAGGCATAGTGTATACCATGTGCTGTTGGAGTTAAGGGAAGCCACCATTCAGCAGCCATCGCTGGCTTTGGTGCCACGCTACACCTTGAAAGCACTTAGATAAAGAAATTCACCAAAAACTGCTTTCAAAGGAGTTAATCGTTGTGTAAAAAGTTCATCAGACTAGTGTCACATCAAGACCTAGTCCTTCCCCACAGAAGTTCAAAGAACATGCGTGCAAAGAGAGCTTAGGCACAGGGCAGAGAAAGCTGGACCACAGGGAATGGAGAGGAAATGTCACTTGGGCTTGGACTTGTGGAGGATTTGATATGGGCAGGGATTAGGAAAGCTGGAATGGAGGAGAAAGACAAATGAAGAGGCTGCAAGAGGAGTTGCTGGGGGTGGGAGCAGCAGCTCCCTGCTTAGTCATGATGAAAACAAGAGCGTGATGTGTTCTGTCACATGAGCTCCTCCTCTGCCTCTCCAGACCTTGCCTCCTGTCCTCCCTGGGGCCACTCTGCCCCTCTAGTCACCCTGCTGTCCCCAGAACGTGGGGCCGAGGCGGGGTGTGGCTTCCTACTCCCTGGGGCTAACTCCTTTCTTTCCCTGAATGAGGTTCCTGTCCACCTTTACCACAGCCCTCCCTGGCCCCATATACCATACCTCTGCTCTCCCCAGCATGCCCTCTCCCACCTGCTTTGTTTTCCTGAGTCCTGTGTGCTCTAGATCCCTGTGCCTGTTTTGGTTTGCCCTGTCCTATGCCTGGACACGGTAACTGGGTTCCTGTTTGTGGGATGAAGGGATCTGCTCCTCTGGCGGAGCAGATGAATGACTTCAGAAGCCCTAGTCCTGCACTTACAGTCTGTACTTTCCTAGCAGCTCCAGTCATTCATTAAAGACACAGCAGGGCAGCTCCAGTTGTGTTATTTGCTATTTTTTCCCCCCAAAGGTCCCCAGTCCCAAGCGGAAGTTGGAAGAACCGGTTTTAGAGTTCAGACCTCCCAGAGGAGCCATCACTCAACCACTGAAAAAGCTCAAGATCAACGTGTTCAAGGTTCACAAGTGTGCGGTGTGCGGCTTCACCACTGAGAATCTGCTGCAGTTCCATGAGCACATCCCCCAGCACAAGTCGGATGGCTCGTCCTACCAGTGCCGGGAGTGTGGCCTCTGCTACACATCCCACGTCTCCCTGTCCCGGCACCTCTTCATCGTGCACAAGCTCAAGGAGCCCCAGCCAGTGTCCAAGCAGAACGGGGCTGGGGAGGACAGCCAGCAAGAGAACAAGCCCGGCCCTGAGGACGAGGCCCCGGACGGCCCTACATCAGACAGGAAGTGCAAGGTGTGTGCAAAGACCTTCGAAACGGAAGCTGCCTTAAACACGCACATGCGGACACACGGCATGGCCTTCATTAAGTCCAAAAGAATGAGTTCAGCCGAGAAATAGCCACAGATGTTCTGTAAGCAAAATCCCCATCCACATTGGAATTAAAAAAACATTTTTGTTACAAAAAGTTTGCAGTGTAATAGAGTTAACAGTACTGTCTAGGCTGTTGCAATATATTTCCTCTCAGTGTATCTTCTTCACCTGTCGGATTATCTCCTCCATAAGTATTATGACAGTATTTGAGTTTAAAAGAGTTTGTATATATTTAAACGAATAACTTTTTATACTCTTTGTTACATGTTTGTATCAGTATTTAGTGGAAAATGTTTTGAGTTTTTTGGGTTAGAATTTTTCTTTTTGTACTGTTTCTTTAAAACAGAGTTCTTAGGGGCAGTTCCTGACTTCAGACAAACCATTTTGTATGTTACAGATTTGAATAGGTTCGCTAATCAGAGGCTAACATAATGCCTTTTTAGGGTTTTTAAGTTTTAGAACTCACTACATAAATTGTAGGTGATCGTGGGTCTCAACAACACTAGGAACTTCTAAGTGTCTTAGCACTACTCCCAGTGGGCCTGACTCGAGAGCAGGGGTGGCTGGGACAGCTGCACTCCAGGGTGGGCATGGGGTGGTGGGTTGGCTCAGGCCGCACCAACCCAGCACCCAACCCAGTGTGTTTAAAGCAGCCTTGCAGGGACCTTCTTCCCAGCAGTGGACAGAACAGGCCAGGAATCCAGTAAGGAGTGTGGATTTGCTTATTTCCATCTTGCGAAATGGGGAAGAAGGGAATTCTGAAGGGAAAAAAATGAGGCTGATAGAGGCTGACTTAAGAGCACAAGGAGATAAAGCTTTGAAAGGGCTAGACTACTGTAAAAGTTACAAATATGTAGTTAGACCAGTAGATGTCTAGTCAGGTTTTTGTCCTGTAACTTATTAACTATAACACAGTTAAGAATATCAAGTACTTCTCTGGCTCTTGACAGGAAAAAAAGTCACAGTTGACCTAACCCTTTGCTGTCTAACCAGTTGGCGTTTCCTGTTCTGGGTGCTACTGCCAAACGTTCTGGTACTTAGAGTTGGGATGCACAACTTTAACCACCGACTTATTAAAGCAGCAGTCTGCACATTGCAGTTGGCCATTAGATGAAGCACTGAGCCACCTGGGTTTCATTTAGTCATTTCAGTAAGTACAGCTCACATCCGTAGTTCTGCGTATTGAAGCATCGGCGAGGTACTCTTCTGTCCCTTCTGTTTGTAGTTCTCTGGCAGAGTTATATATATGTTTGGGGTTTTTTGTTTTCTTTTGGTTATTGTTTTGTGGTTTCTTTTGCATTTTATATCTTGTATTTATCCCTGAACGTGTTTTGTACTTTTTTTTTTTGTAAGTAAAGAAATTCTTTTGTGTATATATAGATACTTGCATGATAGAATGTAGTTGGTGTTCGGTTCCTCAGAAGGTCTTGCTGCTGTCAGGTGTTACACACTACATCCATCATAACTGTATTAAACACATTTCATATGTAAATAAACGTGGGACATTTGGCCCTTGTGCTTCTGTGAGAGAGTTATTGATGGTGGGTCTCTGACATCTTCATGAAGTTAAGGAAGTGATTAATTGCTGGGACGGACTACAGGATACTGCCATATTCTTCCCACTCAGAAGAATGGCATATTCATTCTCGTTAATAATCAGCTTATTTGTCACTTCCTTCTTGACTCCATCAGTACAATCCAAGGGTGTGATTAAGTATTCCTCAACTTGAAGTTTGATTGCTGTTACTTGTTCCAAGTAATATTGTATTGCTCTGAGTTGTAACCATAGCACTTTCACATGTTTCTGCATTTGGACCTTGCAATAAACCTGTGTGGAGGGCCGCATGGGTCTGTATAGCCCAGTTTTACAGTTGAGGAAGCTGAGCTTAGATTAAGTTCTTTGCCTAAGCCCTCGTAGCTGGTAAGTGGCTTTGCATATTAGAACCCAAATATTTTGCTCTAAATCTAGTGCTCGCTCTATGTGGTTATGTACATATGGACAAATACTCATTTATTCAACAAATAAAAGTATGTGTAAAACATGATACTAGAACTTTTGTTTTTGGCATTACGGCTTTTATAAGGTAACCTGAAAGTCTTTCCACTTGTAAATACCCAGAAATGCTTGATAATATAGAATCGCTATCTGTTAAATGCCTGGTTGAATGTATAAGGAAGTTTTTTAAAATACTCTGGTCCAAAGCGAAGAAACTAAAATCCAGACTAAAAACCACTACACAGTGCTATAGCTCTGGAGGGAAACCTGGATGGTCAAGTCTTACGAAGCTGGCGCTGAACTGGAAGACACATCTTACGGAAGTCACCTGGAATACAGCACAGAGATAAGGAGATACGGAGCATAGGAAAGAGGTTAATAGTCAAGAACGACAAAACGAAAAGCTCCCACTTAGGTTTAATAGTTCCAGAAAGAGGAACAAGACAATTTAGAAAGATTAGAATGGAAATTTTAGCCATTAATGAAATACACGAATACTTGGGTTAACAGTGCTGAGCAAGAACACACAGGTTGGGACTGAAGTTCTGTCCATTCTCCATTGGTTGACATGCTAAGTGTGGGCCTTTGAGAGAGAATGCAGTCAGACCAAAAGCAGAATTCTGTGGGGGCATGCTCAGTGAGTTTTTAGGAAGCCCATCTGCTTTGTAGTGGAGAGGTGGGAGTGAAACTAGACAAGCTTAGGCCAAGTTATAAAGACTGAAAGCCGGGCTAGGTGGCATACACCTGTAATGCCGGCAGTCTGGGAGGCCAAGGCAGAAGGATCAAGTGTAGCCTCAGCAACTTAGCAAAACCTTGTCTCAGAATTAAAGGGCTAGAGATATAGCTCTGCAAAGGCTCTGGGTTCTATCCTTATACCAACCCCTCAAAAAAAAAAAAGGGCCTGAATGACATACTGAAGGTTTGTCCTTTGATAATTAGAAATGAGTTTTTTGGCCTGAGTAATGACATAAGCAGCTGAGTTGGTGGCAGTGTTTAGGATGGAAGGTGAGGAAGTGTATCAATCAGGATAGGTAGGCTATGCTATGCCATGCAACCTCAAGAGTCTAAATGGCTTATCACCAGATTTCTTATTTGCTCATCTTCAGTGTCCAGTGTGGACTGTTTGACATATGGTTTCCTATCTCCTGATCCCCATTTCCCCACTATTTAAAAATTACTGGTGACTGTGGTAAAAGGAAAGTGTGATTAAACGCTCTGGCCCAGAACTGAGAGGTGCCACTTCTCAAACTGATCAAAACCAGTCATGTTTTTCACTGTCACAAGGGAGCCAGGAAGTACTGCTTCCCATGTGCCCAAAAGGCTAAAAAAATTTGGACAGCATAAATAACCATCACAGGAATAGTTTAATTACTACAGGTCTGGTGCTGACACAGTATGAGGACTTGACCTATGTAGTAGGAGCAGGTTTGGAAAGAGGCTTCAGTTGTAATGAAAATTTCCAAAACAGTAACAAAAGCGTTTCATACAGTGGAGTGAAGAGAAGGATGTCAGATCTGAAAGTTCAAGCTTAAATGAGTTTGTCAGTTTAGATTAAATAGAAACATGGTAGTAAAAATTAGAAGACCTGGTTATAGGGATGATAATATGCTTTGAGTTTTAGATATATATTCAAGACAAGTTTTTGTTTCTAGATGGTGGGTGGTTAACAGCAATGAATACAGTAACAGCAGTGCATAAAGAATGGCAGCAAAAAGAGAAAAAGGAAAACATAGGCTTAGACTACATCCATTGACCTCTCCTCCCTTCTAAACACATTTTCTGCAGATTCCTAACTCCTACCATAGTTAAGTAGTATAAAGAACAACTGTTCCTAGGCCGGGGATTTAGCTCAGTGGTTCCGTCGCCTGCCTCGAAAGCACAAGGACCCGGGTTTGATCCCCAATACAAAAAAAGAACAACTGTTCCTCCCAAATCTCTGGTGGATACATTTCACCACTGCCTATATTTACACTAGTGAGCTCCATCATGGGAACTGACCAACAGTGAAATTTCCTCTTGAAAGATTTGGGAAGCCAATATTAATATAAAATATTAATATTAATATAATCATGTCCTGAGCACTTTTAAAAATGCCTACTTGGAAGGGAAATAAAAGAAAATGCCTGAAGGATTTTGTAAAATGTGACTCGGAGAAACGTATCACTTATCTCAGAGGAAAATCTGAAAATGAAGTGGAGTATGCCAATTCAGATGTGCAGTGGTTTCCATGACATATGCACACCCGCTTAGCAAATTTCAGATGCTATAAAGATTCCGGATTGTAGCTCTTAATCTTAGCATACATCTAAATAAGGAAACTTAGACTTAGTTTCCTTAAAAATTGAGCTCCTCCTCTGGCATTCTTGCTGTTTATGCAAATGGATTATTGAACCTTCTTTTTTTGCTTAGAAAATTTTTCTACCCCGGCAAACGCAAGGTTCTGAGTTTGATCCCCAGTACCACACACACAAAAAATTCTGTCACAGCCCTCACATCCTTACTAATTGAATTGTAAGCCATGAGGATATGACCACATGAACTTATTTGTCTGCAAAGATCATGGTAACCACAAAGCAAAAAATGTTCAGTGATACACAAAACAAATGCAAAGCATTCAAAGAATACCATTACAAAACTATCAGACTACAAAGAAGGTAGCAAGAGAGGTAGAAACAAATTATATCCCAGAAAACCAGAACACAGATTACAAAATGGCAGTATTAAGTCCTCCTTATCAGTCACTACTTTGAATGTAAATGGACTATATTTTTTTTTAAAAAAAAAAAAGGATTAAGAGTGGTTGGGTGACTTGAAAAGACCTTTGTATATGCTATGTACAGCACTCGCTTCACCTTTACAGACACAGAATAAGTGATAGAGGGGAAAAGGTATTCCACATAAGTGGAAACCAAAAGAGAACAGAGGTAGCTATACTTGGAACTCACAAAATAGACTTTAAGTCAAAAAACAGAAACAAAAATATAAAAAGGAATCAATTTATCAAGAGGTTATACTAGTTGTAAATATGTATGTACTCGATATTGAAACATCTAAATATATAAAGAAAATATTAATAGACCTGGAGGGAGAGATAGATTGTAATACAAAAATAGGGGGCTTCAATTCCTAACTTTCAATAATAGACATATCCAGACAAATTAAGGAAATAATTGGACTTCAACTATGCTTCAGACCAAAGAGACCTAACAGACATGTACAGAATATTCTATCCAGAAACAACAGAATACATATTCAAGTACATACACAACTTTGTCCAGGATAATTCACGTATTATGCCACAAAACAAGTCTGAACAAGTTTAAGAGGATAGAAATCAAGAGAAATTCAGGAGAAATTGTGCGAAATTCACAAATATATGGAAATTAACATGCTACTAACAAGAATCGATCAGAAAAGAAATAGTCTTCGGATAAATGAAAATGGAAACACAACATTCCAAAAGGTATGGGATGCAGCAAAAGTGGTTTGAAGAAGGAATGTATAGCAATAAATCCCTACATCTCTGTAGAACCTCTTCCCACTCCTAGAAGATTCTAGACTAGCAGATGTAATTCTGTAACCATTACCCCAAACCCACTCATTTTGAACAGTTCAGCATCATCCACGTGATTTGAGTGTGGGGCTGAATTTGAGATCGGTCAGTGTCGGGAAACAAGCATTTTTTTCCTCTCACATTTGTTGTCTTCCCTAAGCATTCTTTTCATACCTATTTTTCCTTCCCTACAATCTCTGGATTTTGGTGAATATTTTAGTAAAAATTCAGTACACTGGATGATAAAATCTTCATAATCAACCTACATTTTTGTGGGAGTTTTCTTGTTTATATTTGTTGCTTTCTTTGGAAGGGTAGAGCTGGGGATGCCTGACACAACATCTTGTTTCAATTAGGATCCCAGCAGGATACAGATAGCACATTAGAAAAGGTCTGACTTTAAAGAAATTAAGGAAGTGACTATATATAGATCAGTGGGACACTGAAGCACCTAGAGACTAGCAAAATGGGGAGCCACTCAGGCATGAGAAACCTAAATAGGTAGGGAAGCTGGAGCCTCAGATCAGGGCTACTTGACAGCATCCGTGGCCAGAGCAGAACACAGCCACTGGCAGGTCCATGGTGCCGCTGGGAGGAAGTGGGGAGGCAAGTTACCAGGAACATGTTTCCTCACAAATGTTCCGGCTGCACCCCTCCCACATTGGTCAGGGCTAAGTAAAGGACAGGTAGCTACAGTGATAGTCTGTAGATGTCAGTATGCTGGGCACAGAAGAGGACAGAGAAGGGGGGATGAAAGATTACACCTGTTTCATTATCAACACACAGTTTATCTCTTCCTGGTAGGCTGTCATATGGAACAGTGTGTTTAGGATTCTACATTTACCTTTGCTTTCTAATTATCTCACCAGGTTTATCCTGAAATTATACCTTATTTTTACTCAAAGAAACAATAGTATTTTCCAGAAAATATCCAGTTTCTAAATTCAATGTATGAGGTTAGTTCTGAGTCATAATGCCACACTATGTATAATGTTTCATGGTATTTAAGGGAACTGATTATTCAATTTGCTTTGCTTTTTTTAAAAGCTGCTTATTCCTAAGTTTTTGTTATAGTTAAAATTGTAAATTATACTACCATGGCAGATCTACTTCTAAATACAAGAAAGACCATGTCTAGAAGACTATGGTGGAAAAAAGACTGTATTTGAATCTACCAGAGCACACCTTCCACTCAGTTCCAGATACTGTGGGTTTAGCCCACAAGTAATTTCTGACATTCAGGTCAAGTCAGGCTTAATTGGTCTATTTATTTCTGGAAAATAAACATCATTTATGAAAAAGAGCAAGGCAAGCATAGATCTGCAAATTGGTGGGGACATTGTGAGCTGAGAAGGACTGGGAAGAGTGGAGCTATATCTACTGCCACCTATAAGCAGACATGATCGACATTTATTGTGCCAGTTCAGCCTCCTTAACATCCTTTCTAGAGCTGGGGCATCTGCCTTTGTATGAACCTTGGCCAAAGATATATCTCACTCCTGCTATGGAGGCCAGATGGTCATTCGCTTTATCCCTGGCAGCCTGGGAGGGTGACTGATCTTGACCAAAACCACGTTCCTGCCTCGAAACAAAGAAGCAGGAACAGAGTAAATGAATCCGTTCTCTTGGCACAGTGGCAACGTCCTGGTGACTGCTGACTGAAAGCTACTTTGTGAATTGTACTTGTTTGGTCAGGGGGAGGGAGGCCAGGCTGCTTCTAAGGAATCTCTGAACCATCTTGGGTGCAAGGGGTCCCCATACCATGGTGGGACACTGAATTTTAGACTTCTGCCTTCTGAATAAGACGCCATTCCAATAATATGCCAATGTCAATTATTTTAGCAGAGGCTTACCAAGATAAACAAGTGTTGTTTTCAATAACGAGAGACTAATCCCAGACCTGCCTCCTCCACATCCTGTCACCTCCCCTACCTCATCTCCTGCCACTTCTCACTCCCACCTCCACCCTTTTTGTTCCTGTCATTGTTCACATTCTCGTTCCAGGACCTTGGCCCTTATGGCTCTCTCTTCTGGAATGTTCTTCCCTCAGTTTTTTCCATTTGGGCTTTTTCACTTCATTCCAGTCAGAGGTCTCCTGACTCAGAAAGCCTTTCACAGCTCCTCTGCTGAAATGTGCTGCCCAACCAGCAGCACACATCTGCTCCCCCCCCCCTCGACATTTTGTTATTTTTCTTCCTAGCACTTGCCTCAGCCCAGCATTACGTGCCTATTTGCTGACTGTCTGCCACCCTCTGGATGAATGTTCTAAGCATGTCCATGGGCTCTGCTTGCTTCCTAATTTGTAGTCATCTTTTCCTCTCAAGGGAAGAGACATTTTTCATCTTGCAACCTGAGAGCATGAGGGATTTCATTTTTTCTATTTAGTTGGTCTTTATTCCTGTCAGCAAAGACAGATTTCTGTGTTCTCAAACTCATTACTAAATGATAGAGGCCTAATGCCCTTTCCTTTTCAGTAGTTCTTGAATAAAATGACTGTGGCATTCACAATAGCATCAGCCAGCTGATTGCTGCTAGAAATGATAAAGGCCTGCTTTCAGGAAAGGAAGACATTATTTATTTTCCTGTCCCGTTTTCATGCCTAGGACACTGCCTTGCATAAAACAGGGGCCTAAAATATCTTTGGAAAACTATTAAGTTTTCTCAAACATGGACTAGTCATGATCTTATTTCTTAGTGGTTGTGACAAACTTTAAGAGGGCCTTGTGCTATTAATTACTCAAAAATAAGATTTTCTTTCTCCCTTTTTATTTAGGAGCTGTTTTAAAACAATTTTATGTAGTTTTGACAAATGATTAAAATATGGGTACAGGGTCTGCTCGTTATGCTTTTTATCCCATTCAACAAAAGTTGGAGTATTTAACACAATTCTAAAACCAATTATCATTCTTATTCTTATTTTCAATGACTGCACAATGTCAGCAACTGTCTCTTGTGAATAAATCCAGTTTTCAGAAACCTTTTCTGTTTAATGATTTATACGTATTCAAATAAACTAACCTCCAGTTTTTGAATTCCTTCCCTTCACACTTTCTAAAAGGCAGAAAGACAGTTAAGCACAGGAAATAACAGCTTTGAGAAGTCTAATGCTAACAGGTATGTTTATGACCCGTGAGTCTATAATGTTCCCGTGTGATGAGTGCTGACAGACTACTATGAAACACCTGCATGAGGTAGGCTGACTTTATGATTTTACAGGTGGTGAAATGGAACCAGCTTCCAACAGAGCCAGGACAGAAATCCTATTTCTGGTGCCAAATTAGGTTTTTCCTTTACCACAAATACAATTCCAGCTGGATGCTATCTTCCTTTCTCCACTGGAATTTCAAGCTCTCCTACCTTTGGCACCATCATCAGAGGTGTGTCACAGCAACCCACATAATAATGGCAGGGCATTCTCCCGTGGGTGCAGGGGATGCAGAGGGTTCAGTCACAGGAGCCCTCCTTTGCCCAAGAACCACTGAAGCTCAGCTCTGGCCTCTGACACCTTGGCTGAGCACCTCCAAGGGTGGAGCCTCTGTTCCACTCAGAAGAGCCTAGTTCATCTTGGATCACTCTGACTAGAGACTTCTGTCGTTTTGAAACTGTCCCTTTATCATTTGGATCCAACAATCTGTTTTTTCAGTTCACTTAATCAATACCTGAACTATTTCAGCCTGTAAGCCTGAGTGCTATTTTTCCCCTGTTGGACCAAAACCACACCATAATAAATTGCCACAATAGCTACTATCCACTAAGGGCTCCTATGGGTCCAGGACTGCAAAGCTTCCTTGTACATTATTGTACATTATCTGGATGTCTGATATAAATATATACTACAATCTGCCAGGTGGTCGTAGGCATTTTAGAATATATAAATAATAGCTAACGTGTCTTGAATATTTATGAGTCAAATACTCTTTTAGTACTTTAAATATATCATTTAAATATCACAATTCCCAAAAGGTAAAGACTATGATTATTCTCATTTTCCAGATAAAGTCAGTGAGGCTGGCCTAGGACACACAGGTAGTGATAGCCTTATTCCTTTCTTTCCTTTTTTTTTTGCATTTGTTCATTGAAGCTGTAGGGATCAAACCTATGGCCTTTGTAGTAAGCTACATTCCCAGCCCCCCTTTATTTATTTTTTAAATTTTGTGACAGAGTCTCACTAAGTCACTAAGTTGCCCAGGCTTTACTGGAACTTGTGATCCTCCTGCCTCAGCCTCCCAGAGTGTTGGGATTACACGTGTGCCACAGCACCTGGATCTCTTTTTATTTTGAAACAAGGTCTTGCTAAACTGCCCAAACTATCCTCAAACTTTCAATCCTGCCTTGCCTTCCTAGTAGCTGGAATCACAGGTGTGCACCTAGGTTTGTCTCTTAACAATGACACCAACTGCCTCTTGAGCCAAGCCCAGGAAAATACAAAGAGCATGATGGCTGCCAGCTGGAGCTCCTGGTGTGTAAGACAAGAGGCAGGAAGAGGTAGAGAGCATGCAGTCATCAGGGAACACAGGGAAAGGCTGTCCTCACGCCCTAGTCTCACCCCAAGGGAAGCCCAGGAGGGGTCCTTGAAGAGCCAGCACCTATTCAGAAAAATAAACAGGGGTGAATGAGTACAGCCCCAGAGGAGGGGTTGGAGAGAAGGCGCTCTGCACTGAGGGCCAGGCAGGAACAAAGGAGCCAGGCGGACAGACAGTGCGAGCTGGAAGAGCAGCAGCCAGCCGGGTGCGGGAAGATGCTCTGCTGCCCACAGGAAGTGGAGCAGAGTCACAGCCACCCACATGTGCAGACTCGGTCTGGCAGTGTAAACAAGATCTGCAGACATTGCATCACCTTTTAAATGGAACTATAAAAGTTACTATTTAAAGAAAGCATTTCTGGAAAAAGAATATTTTACACTGAGAAATCCAGATTGACATGTTTTACCATCCTTTAGGGTAACTGAATGCCATCGTGATGGCCTTTTGTCAGTGTCCTTTCCCCTCAGGATGTGTGTCCTAAACCTATGAGTGAGAGTGTATGTGTGTTTTTCCTACTGTGATCACCCCTTCCATGGGAGACGCCACTTCCAAAGTCAAGCAAATTCACTGAGTCGCATAACCCAGATGATCAGAGACCCTCTGTTGCTTATTACCCATCTAAGCATTTTATACATTGGATTTGTCATCATTCTTGAGCAAAAATCAAATGTCGCCACTTAACATCACTGGCATATTTTTTTTTTAAACCCAGAGATATAGACCAGACCATCCAACCAGAGAAAATTAAGCTGTATCCACGTTAGTGGGAAACGTTAATCTGCATCACTAAAGCAGGCCAGGTGGTCGGTGCCCCCACATCCACAGTGCTATTTTACTTAACAATAGCAAGTTGTATATAAATTGGTTTCCATGGTTTGTTCATCTCTGCCGCTTTGCAGGTGGCTGAGGAAACATGGCTTGTCTCTCTGCTTGTTAAGGAGTGAGCAATGTCACATTTACCCCAACACGTAAGAGACAAATGCTTCATAAATAGAAGGTTCTTTGTCTAAGAAGGGAGGCTCATCCTGACAGGTTGAGAGATAATGATGGTCTCCACTTTACTCTTTTGCCTGCTCTCTTTTCAATTATCTTTTGTTTTTCCTGCAAGAAACATTTCTCTCAAGTGCATGCAAGATACTGATGAATTTCTTTCTGATCTGAATTCAGTGACGCCCAAAGAATACGCCCTGAGAAGTAAGTAGGCTTCCCTAGCCCATTGGGTAGGTGAACAGGGCAGTCTGATGTCTGTGCTAGAAGCATTCTCCACAAACTTGAGAGAATTAAAAACGCAGCACCAAATAGGGATGAGAAGACAAGCCTCAGCTTACAAGTTGCTTGGGGTGTGCGTGTGTGTGCGTGTGCGTGTGTGTGTGCGTGTGTGTGCGTGTGCGTGTGTGTGTGCGTGTGTGTGTGTGTGTGTGCGTGTGTGTGTGTGTGTGTTGTCAGTCTAGCCAGAGGCCTTTCCTGAGAACCAAGCTTTTAAGAATTATTTAGATTGGGTGTTGCTGTTTATTATCGAAGTTGATAACCTCATTGTCACATGATATAGCTTGGTTTATTTCTTTTTTTAGACATTTACTCTGCTTTTGATAATAAGTCTTTATTGTTCAGGGAGAAAGTCTGGTCCATTTTATGCATAATAGTAAATTGTAAGGAGGGCAGGGGATTTAGCTCAGTGGTGCCGCTGCCTGCCTTGGAGGTGCAAGGTCCTGAGTTCAATCCCCGGCACTGGAAAAAAAAATTAAATAAATAAATAAATTCTAAGGAGTGTGTTGGTAAAGGCCCTGGCTCAGGCTAGAAGGAGATTGTAGCCAAGCCACTTTGCATGTAATATGTATGGATTTCAGGTAGCTACAATTTTTTTTTTTTTTTTTTGAGACTGGTTCTCTCTATGTAGCCCAGCCTAGCTTCAAACTCTTGGTGATCCTCCTGCCTCAGCCTCCCAAGTGCTGGGATTATAGGTGTGTGCCATCAAGCCTGGCTCCTGCAATTTTTAAAAAATGTTTCCCAAAGTCATTCTCACAACTGAAGGAATACATACTTTTCTGCCAAAAAGCGGCACCCCCCCACACCAGGGAAGTAACCTCTCCTTCAGGAGAATGATTCATTGTTGTTAGTGAAAGGCACAGACAAGGAAAAAATCTAGAAACTATTTCTAAAACCAGATAAACTAACCTAGCAATTTCCATTTAGAATGCAGGACTACTTAATTTTTTATTGAAAAACACTTAGTAGAATAACATACCCCATAAAGTTAAAAGTTTTTATCTAATATAGGGTAATTCAAAATAGCACATGATTTGAAACAGTTGCTATTCTACACTGGATCAGATGCCCTGGTATTTAATGAAATGGTGGTAAAATATAAATCCAATTAATTCAGTAGCCATTTTCTTCAAGTCCCATTTTGGAATTGGTTATGTTTTGCTACAACACTTGGTGATACTGATAGGCAACATTGCGACAAACCCAGGCCAAATAAGCTGGCCAAGAGACTCCAGAAGGTGTGATGCTGGCTGGGGTTTCTGGTGATGAAGAGGCGGCCCATATTGTCATCATTAGTCACAGCCCCTCTAACATTATTTGCCTTACAAGATACTGTAGCCATGCACCAACCGTGTTCCATCTACTGTAGGAGCCTGAAAACAGAAAATCTTCTCCTTTTTTAGTAAACAAACAAAAAATCCTCAAGATAAATGGTTCAAGGAAGAACTGAATGGGGCTGGAGACTTAGCTCAGGGCACCACACCTGCCTCGCAAGCACAAGGTCCTGAGTTCGATCCCCAGTACCAAATAAATAAATAAATAAAGCCAAAGAAAGAACTGAATGACTTATATAAGTGGAATAGAGGATTATTAACTTATTTTAATAGATAAATACATCTGTCTGTAGATATCTGAACTGATTTTCATTCTAATGTACCAGAAAATACTTGGCATTGCTGCCTTGACATTTTGCCTGAGATCTTTGAGCACAGCATGTGTTTTTGACTTTGGTTCTCAGCAAGGTTTTCCTGGCAGTCATGTGGATGGAAAAACAAGAGTTAGTGGTAAGTTCTTTGAGTGGCAGGCACCCATCTGAGCCCTGTGCAGGGGTTGATTCGTTTAGTCCCAAAGCTCCTCTTTTAGGAGGTGGGGAGAGTTTTTATCATCTATTTTAGAAATGGGGAACCCAGCCAGAGAGATGTGAAAGATCTTGCCCAAAGTGGTACGGATAGGTTTTCATTCCTGGGCCTGTACTTTGCATCTTTGCCTAAAAAATAAGCAACAACAAAAGAAGCAAGAAAACAAAACCAAACCCAGCAGCCAAAATATATCAATACTGAGATTACACCGAGATACATTAAGAAGAAAACATGTTGCAGACAGATGGATTATATACAGCAGCTAAATTTAAACCAGCGCAAATTAAGGCTGGCTGTTGCTAAATGTACATAGTTCAAATGTTACGAAATGCTTGAGAGTTGGGTGTGGTGACGTACACCTGTGACCCCAATACTCTGGGAGGCTGTGGCAGGAGGATGGCAAGTCTGAGCTCAACCTGGGCAACTTAGGTGACTTGGTGAGATCCTGTCTCAAAATAAATAAATTTAAAAGGGCTGGAGATACAGCTCAGTGCAAAGGCCCTGGGTTGAATCCCCAGTACTGAATTTTCAAAAAAGCATGAGAATGACAACCTCTATGTTCAGTTGGGGATAGCTTTGGAGAGGGAGGTGAGCGAGTGACTGGGGACACACTAGGTTTCAAGGGATTGGCTGAGTTTCGTTTTAAGCTGAGTGATGGGAACATAGGTGATTGTATTATTCTTTATGCCTTTTTGTTGTTTGGGGTTTTTTTGGTACCGGAGATTGAACTCGGGTTCTTGCGCCTGCACAGCAGGCAGCAAAACCACTGAGCTAAATCCCTGGCTCTTTATGCCTTTTTAATGTAGTAAGCATTACATAATTACAGTTTTAAAGTGCCACCCCCAATTCAAAACAGAGATGACAACCCACATGGGGCCGCGTAGGCTGCAGGTGATGGGCAGAAACCCGAGGAATCAGGTGGGAAGATGCCCCTTGAAGCACACAGAGGTGTTTGGCCTTGCAGACAGAAATTAGAGTCACTGCAGAGCAGGAGAAAGGCTGGTCTTTAGAGACTCAGTCTGCGTGGGCAGGACAGGTTAAAGTGTACAGATATTGTGGGAAAGAAGTTTAGTAATAAGGCTCAGCGTCTTTCCTCCATTCGTCTCCTTTTGCTAACAGACAATTATCTACCAACTTAACAAGAAAAAAAATCCACCAGATATTCCTGTGTGCTTTGATTTTGCTACCTTATAGGGTATTGGGCTCTTACTTAATACCTCTTGTCACTATCCAGCCCTGAGCATTCTCTTCCCTCTGGTTCTGATTTTGTTTTAAACTCTACAATCCACAGAAATTCTAGAAATCTGCATGTCACATAGTAATGGCTGGCACCCTCCCCCTGATTCATCATTTTCTTCTCCATTTTCTTTCTCTTTTACCACTACTGTGTTAGCTGTCTTCCTCCTTCCGGACCCTCATCTTTTCCCATTTAAGGGACTGTGCCCTCCCTGTCTGCAATGTTCTATGCCAGCGATGGTGAACCTTTCAGAGATCGAGTTACCAAATTGCAACCCAAAATGACTTATTTATCCTAAAGTGGCAACACTGCAATTAAACTTGAATACTGAAGTTTTAATTTAGAAAAAACCACTCATACATTAAAGAAAAAAAAATAACAGCTTTCAATGATACACATATGCCATAGGTTTACCACCACTGTCCTACGCTGATGATCTTCTTTCTCCACCTGACTTCCAGAACCTTCCAGAACCAGGTTCTGTGTTCCTTTCCTCATCTTAATTTTTCTTATAAGCTAGGTTTGGAGACCAGCGGTTAAGCTCTTGAGCCACAGAAATTGTGCTAGATTGGCAGTAGAGTTACGTGATTTCTCCCAGGCCATTTCACTTTGTTCAACCAGTTTCCTCACCGTGAAATGGCCAGCTGTGTTTCCCCTACTGTGAAAAATCAACAGCAGCTTTAAAAAAATGCCAATTCCTAGGCCCAGGTGTGTGCTACATCTGGTCCGTGCGGGCTTGTGAGAGTTAATTGTTAAATTGTCAAGCTGGTTGTTGAACAGTTATTTTTATGGGTTAAATCAAATATATTTATAATTAAATTATGCTAAGAATAAAAGTAATAGTCAAAATTCATCATTTCCTGGCTATCTGAATATATGTTACCATTATCTACAGTCAGTTTGTAAGATTGTGCTGGTAATCAAATCCAGAGCTTCACACAAGCTAGGCAAAGGCTGTTCCACTGAGCTACCTCCCCAGGCCCCTATTACCTGTGCTCTTGAAACTATTTCCACCTATTGCTTCTGTATGGTGGGAATTGCTGCTACACTATTGTGCTTGGCCTCCCAACTCCAAAGTTGGGAGCAGCACTGTGGGAATTGGTAGTCAGCTGTGGAGTCAGTATCTTGCAATTGCTGCAGGTGGGGTTCATTGTTTTGTCAACTGTTTAGATTTAAGTAATTGGAGACATTGTGAGGTACGAAAGTTGAACAAAGTTGTGTAACAGCAGTAGACATCACATTGTCAATACCACAAAAAAGATGAGGAAATATTCTGCAGTATTCAAACTGTCATCTGATCAGCACAAGTTTCTCATATCATGGACCAGTGCTTGTAGTTTTGACATACATCTTTCTTGTTTCACATTAGTATTACTCATTATGGCGAACAGAAACACCAATATTTATATCAGGGTTATACTTATTTGTCAACTGAAACCACAGATTGGCTATAGATACAAGAGTTCAGTCAAAACACACACACACACACACACACAACCAATGAAAGTATTTTGTGGGAGTCAATTGGGTATTTGCACATAAGGATTATTGTAGATTTCATTATTATTTGTATTATGTGTGTGTTATGGATTGAATTGTGTTCCCTCCAAATCCATAAGTCCTAACACCAGTACCTCAGCATTTGGAGATAGGACCTTTAAAGAGATAATTAAACTGGATGTGGTGGCACATACCTGTAATCCCAGCCTTCTGGAAGGGGTGAGCCCAGCCTGGATAATTTAGTGATTTTATGAGACTCTGTCTCAAAATAAAAAATAAAAGGAGAGGCTGGGGTTGTAGCTTAGTGCAAAGGCCCTCCCTGGGTTCAATGT